AAGCGCCTTCTGTGAGGGCTGTCCCTTCACCTCCAGGCCCAACTCCTGACAGAGGGCCAGTGTCCTTGCTTCCCAGGCCTGGGGTCAGTGATGGCACAGGAAAGGGAAAGCTATCAAGAAACCAGCCTGGATCCTCACTGACAGAAAATACCCGCTGTCTCAGTGGGTGGCCAGTAAAAGACTGGACCAAAAAGCTGGACATGGTGGCATATGCCTGTAGTTCCAGCTACTCATGAGGCTGAAGCAGGATGATCGCTATAGCCCATGAGTTCAAGGCTGCAGGGAGCCATGACTGAGCCTCTGTAAACCTGGTGGGGGACAGAGCAAGACCCGTTTTTTTGTTTTGTTTTTGAGATAGAGTCATGCTCTGTCACGCAGGCTGGAGTAGAGTGGTGTGCTCTTGGCTCACTGCAACCTCCACCTACTGGGTTCAGGCAATTCACTTGCCTCAGCCTCCCGAGTAGCTGCGACTGCAGGCGCACACTGCCATGCCTGGCTAATTTTTTGTATTTTAGTAGAGATGGGGTTTCATCATGTTGCCCAGGCTGGTCTTGAACTCCTGAGCTCAGGCAATCCACCCACCTCAGCCTCCCAAAATGCTGAGCTTACAGGTGTGAGACCCTGTCTTAAAAAAAAAAAAAGTGCCTGGCTAAGACCTTGTCAAAAAAGAAAGATAGAAAAGAGAAAGAGGAAGAAAGAAAAGAGAGAGAAAGAAGGAAAGAGAGAAAGAAAGAGAGAAAAGAAAGAAAGAAAGAGAGAGGACCGGAATGGATCAAAGTCCTGTGAGCTCCCCCAGAAAGGGGACATCCTGACAAATTGTCACTTTAGCTGTGACTACAGCCCAGATTGGGCCAGGGCTTCCAGACTGAGCCTTCACTCTATGCCTCACTGCAGTAAGGGGACAGTGGGCCTTAAGATAAACATCTGGGGACCAGAAACAGAACACTGCCTGTGTCTCAAGTCTTCCTCGATTAGCTCGTATGCACACACACAAACACACCCTTGGCACACACCTTTCAAATTATGATTGCATAGCAATGTTACTTCCTTCTGAAAAATAAGTTTTTCTTACCTCTTACCTTTTTTTGCATATTTTAAACATATACATACACACAGCCACTGTATTTTACATATCTTTTTTTTCTTTTGCAAATGGATACTTTTTGAGTTCAGTGAGCTTCCCCCTCCAAGGCATTACAATGTAAACATGGTGTAACTCTCAGTCACCACAGTATCTTTCCGGAGGAGGAGTAAAGGCTAAAGGCTAAAGGCGGTGAGGAAATCAGACTTTGCCTAACAAAGAACTAGGAGATCCACTTGGCACCCCACTCTTTCAGAGCACCCTACACTTGTATATCTTATTTCTCTCTAATTGCCTTTCAAACTGACTAATATCCACCATGGTTGTACCTGGTCTTCCCCTTCACCTTTTCCACCATTCTCCAGCCTGGCACAGACCACTTGCCCAAGAAGCATTCTTTTTTTTTTTTTTTTTTTTTTTGAGATGAAGTTTCACTCTTGTTGCCCAGGTTGGAGTGCAATGGTACAATCCTGGCTTACTACAACCTCTGCCTCCCGAGTTCAAGTGATTTTCCTGCCTCAGCCTCCCGAGTAACTGGGATTACAGGCACCTGCCACCACACCTGGCTAATTTTTTGTATTTTTAGTAGGGATGGGGTTTCACCATGCTGGCCAGGCTGGTCTTGATCTCCTGATCTTTAGATGATCCACTCACCTACACCTCCAAAAGTGCTGGGATTACAGACATGAGCCACTGCGCTTGGCGGAAGCATTCCTATTTGCTTTTGGAGACAGGGTCTTGCTATGTTACCCAGGCTGGTCTTGAACTCCTGGCCTCAAGTGATCCTCCCGTCTTGGACTCCTAAAGTGCTGGCATTACAGGCATGCAACACCATGCCCAACTACTTTTCATTTCTTTTTTTTTTTTTGAGACAGAGTTTTTCGCTCTTGTTACCCAGGCTGGAGTGCAATGGCGCATTGGCTCACTGCGACCTCTGCCTCCTGGGTTCAGGCAATTCTCCTGCCTCAGCCTCCTGAGTAGCTGGGATTACAGGCATGCGCCACCATGCCCAGCTAATTTTTTGTATTTTTAGTAGGGACGGGGTTTCACCATGTTGATCAGGATGGTCTCGATCTCTTGACCTCATGATCCACCCGCCTCGGCCTCCCAAAGTGCTGGGATTACAGGCACGTGTCACGATGCCCAGCTAATTTTTTGTATTTTTAGTAGAGATGGGATTTCACCATGTTGATCAGGATGGTCTCGATCTCTTGACCTCGTGATCCACCTGCCTCGGCCTCCCAAAGTGCTGGGATTACAGGCGTGAGCCACCACGCCCGGCTACTTTTCATTTCTTTCTTTTTCTTTTTTGAGGACAGGGTCTTGCTCTGTCACCCAGGCTGGAGTGTGGTGGCATGTTCAAGGCTTACTGCAGCCTCAACCTCTTGGGCTCAAGTGATCCTCTGCCTCAGCCTCCCAAGTAGCTGGGACTACAGGTACACATCACCACACCTGGACAATTAAAAAATTTTTTTTTGACTGGGCACAGTGGGCAATCCCAGCACTTTGGGAAGACAAGATGGGTGGATCACCTGAGGTCAGGAGTTCAAGATCAGCCTGGCCAACATGGTGAAACCCTATCTCCACTAAAAATACAAAAATTACCTGGGTGTAGTGGCAGTTGCTTGTAATCTCAGCTACTAGGGAGGCTGAGGGAAGAGAATCACTTGAGCCCGGGAGGCAGAGATTGCAGTGAGCCAAGACAGTGCCACTGCACTCTAACCTAGCCAATAGAGCAAGACTCCATCTCAAAAAAAAAAATTTTTTTTAAGCTATGGGGTCTCACTGTGTTGCCCAGGTTGGTCTGGAACTCCTGGGCTCAAGCAGTCCTCCCACCTCGGCCTCCCAAAGTGCTGTGATTACAAGTATGCCCCGCCAAGAAGCATTCCTGACAGCATGAGCCCCACCAGATAGTATGGAATGGCCACCAATTACCTGCTTGGGCAAGTAACAACATACTAGCCTCAATGTCGCCATCTATAAAATGTGAATACATCTATTTTGCCAGACACCAAAAGGTAGGAAAAGAAAGAAAAGAAAAGAAAAAAAAGTAAAAAAAGAAAAAAAAATGTGAATACAACACAATGTATCTCACAGGGTTATTTTCAGGATGCGACGGATGATGATGCTGTGTCATGCCACAGATTCCAACCTGGCAGCTCAGGAACCCGGTAAATATCTGCATGTTCTATCTAGCCCTGGAAGATGCTCAGATGTACAATACTACTTAGCTGGCTAATTGCTGTCTCTCTCCAGCTAGACCTCAGGCCCCCTGAAATGGCCAAAGGTAGCAGATTCAATAGTACAAAACAAGCCACACGAGGTGTGCAGAGCTACCGTGTGCCAGGCTGGCGAAGGGGGCGCTGGGTAAGCCAGGTCCCTGCCTAAGCAGGAGATACCCCATACACGTGGTAAGACTAATACAAACCTAGGAGAGCTAACAGGTCCAAAGTGTTCAAGGAAATGGGTGGGGGTGGGGGAAGGGCTTTCGAGAAAGACATCTAATCCCTTCTGAGGACAGCTTGTCTTAAAGGCACAAAAGGTGAATGTGTATCCACCCAGAAAGGTGAAAAATATTTCTTAATAATATATCCTGTATGAAATTGGCCAGAAGCCAGACTCTTGACTGCCTGAAACACAGAGCTTGTTTGGGAAGGTCTCTGGAAATCATCCACCACGAAACCCTCACAACCCTGTCAGGAGCCCGGCACACTGCTGGCACTGTGGCCTCCTAGCAGCCTCCAAGTAGAGCACTGGAATGCTTGAAATCATCCAGCGTGGTAAGTGCCATTACTATCCCCACTTTTACAGAGCTGGAAGCAGGCTCTGAAGTACTTCACTGGCTGACCCCTTCAATCACCCTACTGGATACATCCAGCTGCATGAACGGTGGCCCTCATTAATTATCCCTGTCCCTGCTACAGAGGAGGCTCCTTGGGATCAGCAACTGCCTTTGTCTACCTCCTAGGCCAGAAGGGCTGGCCGGGGAAGAATCTTGGGGGATGGGCACGCCGGGCATGCCAGGCCCTGCCAGGGAGAAAGAGCCCCTGGTGGCTGGCCCTGCCCCACGACTTCATTCCCGGCGCTAGGGCCCTGGAACTTCGTCCTTGAGGCGCTCAGCCTTCTCAGTCTCCTTCCCCTCCGCCTCCTCCTGCCCAGGTCAAATCATAGACCTCCCCTTTACAATGGATGCCTTGGTTCTGCATCCACGTGCCACCGTCCTCCTCCCTCTTCCCCGATCAGCCCGCCGCTGCCTGGCGTCTAAGCAGCCCCCTGCTCCAAACTCGGCCTAACCCGGGGGTGGCAGGAGACCGGGGATGGGGAACGTAGTCTGGTCGGGAGAAGGCCAGGTGCGGGAGCCTCCTGCAAGAGGAGTTAAAACAGGCTCTCTGGAGTTGGACTGCTGGGGCTCAAATCCCAGATTTCTCTGTGTGTAACTTTAGGCAGCTGACTCACTCGGAGCCTCCGTTTCCCCATCTGGAGAGGCGAACACTCCCGGCGGCGCCCACACAGCCGGGTGGTGGAGAGGGTTAAGAGGGCTGCGTTCTCGGGAACAGCAGTAATGGTGGCCTTCCAGGCATCGCCCTAAAGGGGACTTGACGAGTCGTGAGCCCATCACCCGCGCCACCGTGCAGCGGCGTGGCCGGAGTCCCGCGGGGGACAGAGCCGGCCTGGGGCGCACGGGACACCGGGGCCCACGCGGCCGAGCCCGGACAGCCGGGTGAATGCGCGGCGCAGCGGAAGGGCGCCTGCAGCCCGGGGCCCTGCGAGGCGCGCGTCTCCGCCCTCTGATGGCGCCCGGGCCGCCTTCCTCGTCCTGGCACCGCGCAGCGCGACCCCCAGCCCACGGCGACCCCGGCTGCTACAGACGCCCCCTGCCCCGCCCGCGCCGCGCCCCGGGCCAGCGCTGCGCACTCACCCGGAGCCCGCCACCGTGGTGGCCTGGATGGAGCTGATGCGCAGGCGGTTGGCCGTGTCCTTCAGGGCCTGCAGCTTCTGCTGGTCAGGCTTGTGGTAGCCCTCCATGGTGCGGCGGGCGGGGACCGGGCACACACGCGGACACGCAGAGGTAGCGGCAGCTCCCGCGGCGACAAGCGGCAGCCGAGGCCGGGCGCCGGGCGGGGACGCGTTAAGACTCCGGGAGGGGCAGGGCGGGGGAGGAAGGCGGGGCTCGGATCACCCCAGGCCTCCGGCCCCGCCCCGTCCGGGGCCGCCGCCTGCCCGCTCCCCGCCCCTGCCTGGCTCAGAGCTGGGCGGCTGCGGACTGCTGGGTTCGCAGTTAACCACACACACCAATAATGATAGCACAACTAACAACTCAAGGTTCGAGGCTTGGCTCCTGCCTCGAAGGCCTCTCTGTCTCCCTCCTCCACACAGTCCTCCGTGGAATTGTCACGGGTAATCCCATTTTAGAGATGAACAAACTGAGGCTTGGCAAGGACAATCAAGGTCGCTAGGCTGCTGGGTGCCAGCGGACCAACCCCGGCTCCAACAGAGTGCCGAACTATTAGTGGTAACAGAATTTTCAGACGGCGTTTCACTGTTGTCGCCCAGGCTGGAGTGCAATGGAGCGTTCTCGGTTCACTGCAACCTTCGCCTCCCAGGTTTAAGCGATTCTCCGGTCTCAGCCTCCCCAGTGGCTGGGATTACAGGCGTTCACCACCACGCCCGGCTAATTTTTGTATATTTAGTAGAGCCGGATTTTCATCATATTGGTTAAGCTGGTCTCGAACTCCTGACCTCAGGTAATCCTCACGCCTCAGCCTCCCAAAGTGCTGGGATTACGGGCGTGAGCCACGTCGATCGGCCAACTATTATTACTTTTTAATAATTAAAAAAAATTGTTGGCCAGTGGTGGCTCGCGCCTGTAATCCAAGCATTTTGGCCAAGGCGGGCAAATCACCTGAGGTCGGGAGTTCAACACCAGCCTGACCGACAACATGGTGAAACCCCGTCTTAAAAAAAATAAGCCGGGCGCAGTGGCTCAAGCCTGTAATCCCAGCACTTTGGGAGGCCGAGGCGGGTGGATCACGAGGTCGAGAGATCAAGACAATCCTGGTCAACATGGTGAAACCCCGTCTCTACTAAAAATACAAAAAACTAGCTGGGCGTGGTGGCGCGTGCCTGTAATCCCAGCTACTTAGGAGGCTGAGGCAGGAGAATTGCCTGAGCCCAGGAGGCGGAGATTGCGGTGAGCCGAGATCGTGCCATTGCACTCCAGCCTGGGTAACAAGAGCGAAACTCCGTCTCGAAAATAATAATAATAATAATAATAATAATAATAATAATAATAGGCCGGGCGCGGTGGCTCAAGCTTGTAATCCCAGCACTTTGGGAGGCCGAGGCAGGTGGATCACGAGGTCGACAGATCGAGACCATCCTGGTCAACATGGTGAAACCCCGTCTCTACTAAAAATACAAAACATTAACTGGGCATGGTGGTGCGTGCCTGTAATCCCAGCTACTCAGGAGGCTGAGGCAGGAGAATTGCCTGAACCCAGGAGGTGGAGGTTGCAGTGAGCTGAGATCACGCCATTGCACTCCAGCCTGGCTAACAAGAGCAAAACTCCGTCTCAAAAAAAAAAAAAAAAAAAAAAAAATAATAATAATAATAATAAATAAAATAAAATTAAATAAATAAATAAAAATCGTTTTTTTCAGCTGGGCACGATGGGTCATGCCTGTAATCCCAGCACTTTGGGAGGCCAAGGCGGGCAGATAATGAGCTCAAGAGATCAAGACCATCCTGGCCAACATGGTGAAATCCCATCTCTACTAAAAATACAAAAATTAGCTGGGTGTGGTGTCATGTACCTGTAGTCTCAGCTACTCAGGAGGCTGAGGTGGGAGAATCGCTTGAACCCGGGAGGTGGAGATTGCATTGAGCTGAGATGGTGCCACTGCACCCAGCCTGGAGACAGAGGGAGACTAGGTCTCAAAACAAAACAAAACAAAACAAAACAAAACACACACACACACACACAAACTTTTTTCTTTGAGATGGAGTCAGTCACCCACTGTCACCCGGGCTGGAGTGCAGTGGAGTGATTATGGCCCCCTGCATCGTCAGCCTCCTGGGCTCAAGTGATCCTTCTGCCTCAGCCTCAAAAGTAACTGTGACTATTGGTGCATACTACCACGCCCGCCTAATTTTTGTCTATTTTGTAGAGATGGGATCTCACCATGTTACTCAGGCAGGTCTGGAACTCCTAAGCTCAAGCCATCCGCCCACCTCTGCCTCCCAAAGTGTCTGGATTACAGGCATGAGCCCTGGTGCCCAGCCACTCTGGGCTTTAGAGACCTGCACAGGGGATGGGGATTATTGAAAATGAGAATGAGATAGTGGTAACAACAACAATGCCAGGTGGTGATAACTGAGAAATTACTAGGGAAGACCCTTTACAAATTATTAGGGCCTAGAAACACTGCCAACTCTTAGGGAGGTTATTGGGTTTGCTTCCAGGTCTGAAGGGACAGGGGCACCCACCACTACTGTTACCACACCGCATGGTCCCCAGAGGAACGAGGCTCCCCAGAGTGGGAATAGGGAGGGGCCTTTCGTCACAGACACCGTCTCACTCAATCCGCCCACCACACTTGGCCAGTAAGGTCCATACTGCCTACAATGCCTATTTTACAGAGGAAGAAGCTACATTTGACAGAGGAGAGATAAAGGCAAGACCCTCAATGGGTGGCTGGGCAGGGGGCTAAAACCCTGAGAGTGCCAAGAGGCACCAGTGCCAAGAGGACACCACCCTGTGTCCTCTGTGTCCTCCCTGCATTGCCCATACTCAGAGAGCTCTGGGTCATGAGACAATGGCCTGAATTTGAGTGAGTCCCCAGCTTGCCTCCAGGTGCTTGTCTGCTGGCCTGGCCCCCAGATGCCCAATCAGATCGTAAGTATGGCATCCCATAGTGCCTGGCTCCTCCTGGCCCAGCCTGCAGAGACTGCCCTGTGGTGTCTGGCTGGTGAGGACTCTGGGCTACGATTGGAATGAGGAGGGCCCAAGGGTGTGCCACCCTCAGAGGCCTGGCAAGTGCCACCTCTGTCCTCAGTCTGCTCACTGGTAAAAGGGCAAACCCTTGAAATCTTTTGAAAGCCCTGTGCCTTCCAACTCTGTGGCCCTTAGGCCAGTGGCTCCCTAAGGGAGTGGCCTCAATTTCCCCACCTGCCTAAAGGGACTCATCCTTATCACTCTGCAACCCCTCTGGTCTCTGACAGTGGCACAGGGCTCACCATGGCTCTGGGCACCTAGAAGTAATGGAAAGAAAATTGTCCTCTCCCCACCACCTGAGGCTCCAGGGACCTCAGAGCAGCTTCCTCTCCTCTTGGGGTTCTACATGAATGGGGCCTGTGACATTATGATATACATATATAGGTTCCTGGCTTAGAAATCCGCCCCTCCCCCAGCCCTTGTTATACCATTGGGGTGCTTTAGGCATCAGAAGCAGACCTCAGAAACAGTCTCTCAAGCCTTCTCCTACCTGCTCTTTTCCCCATGGCAGGATCTCCTCCTGGCGGTCTGTCTTGGAGCTGGCCATAAATCAATTCTCTCACATACCTGGTGTAATTGTAGGTCATTAGATCCCCATGAGAAGGGGTTCTGTCCCATACCCATGTGGAGGGAAGACCAGAGTGGGTGCAGAGTGATAAGGATGAGTCCGGTTAGGCAGGTGGGGAAATTGAGGCCACTCCCTTAGGGAGCCACTGTTCTAAGGGCCACAGAGTTGGAAGGCACAGAGCTTTCAAAGGATTTCAAGGGTTTGCCCTTTTACCCGATAGTGAGCTTCCCAGAGAGGCCAAGAAGAGTCAGGACACGCAGGTCTTGCTGGGTTTCCCCACTCAGTCAATTAGTATTAGATCATATACTTTTGGTCTAATCACGTTTCCCCAAGATTGTCAATCATCTCTATCCAGGAGCTTCTGGACAGGGTTCAGCAGCTTCTGGACAGAACACGTGGAGGCTCACAGGAAGGTGAACAAGAACTCATCCATGTGCTGGGACAGTGCACATTCCAGCTCTGTGGAAACAATGGCTCCTTCACCAGGGACCTTCCCTATGTGTCTCTTTGCCTAGCTGTTTATTTGTATCTCTTTGCCTAGCTGTTTATTTTGTATCCTTTAAGATATCCTTTGTAACTAACCCATAAATGTATCTCTACCTATGTGTCTCTTTGCCTAGCTGTTTATTTGTATCTCTTTGCCTAGCTGTTTATTTTGTATCCTTTAAGATATCCTTTGTAACTAATCCATAAATGTATCTCTGCCTATGTGTCTCTTTGCCTAGCTGTTTATTTGTATCTCTTTGCCTAGCTGTTTATTTTGTATCCTTTAAGATAGCCTTTGTAACTAATCCATAAATGTATCTCTGCCTATGTGTCTCTTTGCCTAGCTGTTTATTTGTATCCTTTAAGATATCCTTTGTAACTAACCAGTAAGCGGTGCTTTCCTGAGTTTTGAGAGCTGCTCTAGAAAATTAATTGAACACAAAGAGGGAGTGGTGGGAACCCCAACCTGAAGCTGGTCAGTCCCAATCTTGCGACTCATGCGCAGGAGGAGGTGGTATTGGGGGACTGAACCCACAAAACTGTGGCTTCTCAGACTATCTTCAGGTAATTTGCATCAGAATGGAATGGAGTTGGAGGGCACCCAGCTGGTGTCATTGCAGAATTGATTGCTTGCTGGGTGTGTGGGGAGAAACCCCCACGAATTTGATCACAGGAACCTTTTGTGTGGATTGTTGTGGTGTGAGCACAGAGGAAAAACAGAGTTTGAGGGTTTTCCCTTTCTCAGCGCCCAAGGGTTTAGCCTTATTTTAAGAACTCTTGGTCTACCTGAAGGTCAGCTTCAGAACCAGAATCCTGGGCTAGCTGGAGGTGTTACCAGCACCCAGTTTGATCAGGGTGGTTCTTTTGTCCCCATGTCCCAGGGTCTTTATTCAAACACACACACCTCAGAAGTCATATGGCACTTGGGAGAAAGCCCTGGGATCCTGTCTGGCTTCCAGCTAATATCTGGCTCCCTGCTGCCCTCATGCCCCATCTCCTCCCAGCCTCCTATTCGCCCTCCCCATGGCTGCCAGAGAACTGTTCCTCCCCAGCTTAACTCCCACATTGTTCTTCTTCCACCCTTTGAATAAAATTCAGGTTCCCCAGCCCCACTCATCTCAGC